GGTAGACAGACAGATTTTCTTCTTTGGGTGGAATTGGGAACATTTTTATCTTGTAGGCTTCAGGGTCTTAGCGACTTCGTTCAAACCCTGTAACTATGACCTTTAGCAAGTTTTATAACTTCTCTGAACCTTGGTTTTCTTACCTGAAGATAGGAAGAACTAATCTGCCTTCCCAGAAGTATTGTGAGGATCACATGAGATAACACTAAGTAGTACCTAGCTCAGGGCCTGGCAGATAAGCATTTTTCCAATGGATAGCTACTTTCTTCTTTACTATTTAATATATGTAATTTCTTATCAGTTATTTCAAAAAGGCATAGCTAAGCCATATTGATAGGCTCTTCATAACATTTCCTTTCAAAACTATTGAAATTGTACTTTAATTGCTTTTTAAAGATAATATACAAGATGAAGCAAAGCCCATTCTGTATTAATAATCCACATGTGGGATACTTTTCTTTATGTACTTACAACATAGATACTTTTAATAGTTCCAGGAATATAGTAGTGACAATAGGCAAACCACTCTCAATAAACTAGAGATGATTCTGTAAGGCTTGCCATCTAGCTATTTTCTGATTTGCTATGTCAGAAAGGTACTTCTTTGAGGATTGAGGGCATTTTAATTAGGTATTTTTAAAGGATTTTTGTAAAATCTTATACAATAGGTTCACCAAAATGTTGTTCTCTTGCATCTGTGTGAAGACTTGTTGCAGAAGTACCTGGGTACACAGACTGGTTAATTAAAATCACAGTAGATTGGATGAGAACCTTGGAGACTTGATTTTACTGCCTTAGATTTTGTCGCAAGGCGGTTTCGGAGTTGCACTGCACACTAGCGCTAATTCTACCAGGGCACTGACATTCTGACTCTTCTACTCCATGGGTCCATTTTCACACTTCTCTCCTCCATGGAAAAGCCCACGACAACCACTGATCCACTTAAAATTATTTGACTTGGGCAGATAAACAAGAGAAGTGACTGTGGAGAGAAATCACATTACCTCTCCTTTTGCCTCTAATTCTGACTGTGCTCAGCCTACCTGGGATAGGACATTTATCTTACCCTGTGGTTAACATTAATTGTCTTGTTCAGCCGGGCTCAGTCTCCCAAGAAATACCAGCATACTTATCAAGCTGACAAAATCCTGTGTGCTAGCTAGCCATTCTTGCCTCATCCCCTGGGGTTCTTCCATAGGGAATAGTAAATTTTCTTGTTCACTCCTGCCCCACCTCCCCCATCCTTCTTCCCGTTAGGTAGAGTGGAAGAGGAGAGCTTAGCAGGTTTCAAACAAACTCAGTAGGAGACCAGTCAGAGGCTGTATTTGAGGATTAAATCACTAAGCCCATCTTTTCTGAAGAGGGTACTGGGAACTGGAGAAGGAATTTTCAAGCCCTCAGTGAAGATCTGATAGTTTTCTTTCAAGATCAGAAGGAGGGTTGCAGATTGGAGAGGGACTCTTTCCTTTCACTCCCTGAAATAACCCTGAATATAGTTGTTATTTAGGCTTAGGGCTTTCCAGTTTAGCAAGAGAGTACTTTTAACAGACCACATTAGGAAATGTGTCTTTTTTGTATTTAATGTGTCAAAAAGAGTAAAAGCCTAGTCTTTTGACTTTAGTGAACCTGTTCTGTTAGAGTGAGCAGGTCTAAGGTATTTTAGCAATGGAGTCTTTCCACTTAGCCCCTTCCATGATAGCCCCTTCTCCGCATAGACATATCCCCAGGGTAACACTCTGTTCTCACCTAAACGTGGGGCCTGTAACAGTGGCAAATTTCAAGTCTTTCACAGTGCCAAGTCCTCCTACAAGTAGCCAAATACTCGGACAGGCCAACAGCTTTTCTTTCAGAGCTGTTCAGAGGGGACAGTTAAGATTAGAACCAAAGTTGAGAGAATTAAAACAGTGCTGAGAAAGATAGGTTCTCTTGACTTCCAGCTAAGGAGGACCTTTCTTTGCTCTAGTATCAAGATGGCCTAGTTGAGCTATACTATAGCACCTTACTGGGAACAAGGACCTTGTCAGAATCACTTTTGGTATTCCCAGCGCCCAGCACATAGTTGGTGCATCCTAAGTGCTCGTAAATCATATGGGTTGAAACAGTATACAGCTGACCAGCTTTCCAGGTTTTTCCTACTGATTGTGCCTTACCAACTAGGTCTACCCATTATGTGGCAAGGGCCTTGTCTCTTGGGAAAAAATTGCAACATGTAGATTCCTAGTGTGGAAGAAAAGTTTATTTTCTTCTTGTGGTTAAAGTACATTCCACACTTTCTTTCTTATTTCATTCTTTCGCCTTTCGCTGCTAATATGAAAAACTTATCTTTGGTTACATCTGCCTTCACCACTGTTCCACTCTGGTGGAAGAGGTGACTCCTGTCTTGATCAGGAATAAGTAGTCCACTGGCATCTGATCACTTGGTCCTTTTTCTTTCTCCTCTCGGCCCTTATTTTCATCATTTATTGCCTTCCCCTATCATCTTCTAGTCTTTGGGAGTTTCCCTCTGCAGTCTGTGAATATGTCTACATTTATCTTAGTGACCCGGGTCCTCTTAAACTACCACTTTCTCTCTTCTCTTCACAGTCAGAAGTTTCTTGAAAGAATAATTTGCTCTTAGAGTCTGGCAAATCCTCACTTCTCATTCACTTTCCAACCAAAGGTTATTGTTCAGCTTCATTCTTCAAAAAAAAAGGAAAGAGCAGTCACATTTTCCTAAAACTAGATGCATTGGAAAGTTTGCATTTTTTATTATATTCTGCTCTCTGGGACCTTGGACAGTGTTGGTTAATTTCTTGAAACTCAAAATGCTCTTCCAGTTTTCCCATTTCTTCCTTTCTCTGTTCTGCTGGCTGGTTTTCCTCTGTTTCCCCTTTAGATCAGGTGTTCCCAAGGTTCGCCCAGATCCGCTGTTTGCTTTTTGCGTGTACCTTCCCAGAGAAATTGAAGTTAAAATGCTGTTATAATGCTAGTAGCAAGAAGTAACGTTTATTTAGTGCTTCACAGCTCAGAGAATGTCCAGATGAATAAAATGAAGTACAAAAAAGTTATGACTTGTTTGGAGTCCATAAGTAGTCAGGGCTTGGGACCCAGGTCTTCTGATTCCAGATCCTATGTTCTTTGTATTATTACATTCTGTCTCAGATGTTTCTATGAACAGGCAGTTTCAAGAATTACAGAATCCCTCCTTCAGAGGGCTACTACTCCACTGTTGTCTCCCTTCTCTTGCCAACAAAGAACTCGTTTAATTAACTGCTCTTTACTTCATTATTCCATGTGAACCATTAATTGCAAGTAAAGCAGATTAGATCCCTGTCTTCTGGGAACTTAGAGTCTTCAGACAAGTAATAGTGAGTCAAAAAGAAATGTTTTTGATGTATAGGAAATAGAACGAATGTGTGCTTAGTTAATATTTATATATTGTATGCGATTCATTCATTTGGTAGTCCTTGTTTTCACCTATCTGCTGGGCAGTATATGACTGTCATGGTCCCTCTTCTTATGGGGTCACAGGCAAGTGAGGGAGCCAGGTGTTAGTTGGACCCACTTACAGAAGTGAAGGAATTATATTACAGATGTATTGGAGGCCTGTTAGGAGGCTGAAAAGACCTTAGAGTTATCAGAGGCCCAAGGTTATAGCTGTGTTTAGGAGGCTGAAAAGACCTTAGAGTTATCAGAGGCCTAAGGTTATAGCTGTGTGAACCAGGAAGTTCCTCTGTTGGGCCTCTTTCTTTTCCTCTATAAAATGACCAAGGTTGAGTCTGTTGGCTTCTTAGTTCCTTCTAGCTTATCACATCTTTGAACTAGGATTTAACAAAGGCACTTTCAGTGAGTCAGGAGGCAGAGCAGAAAGTACCATTCTTTTGTGTGAACTGATTATTGAGTAATAATACTAAATGTTCCATTTATTATCTCTGTAAAAAGGGTTCAGGCTTAAAATGTCCATATTGACTGCTTTGGTCTATTGAGAAGCACACACTCTAACTGTATCATAGTAGTTCTTGGTGTTTTAGTGGACTGTCGTGCAATCTTTAGGTTATTCTGACATTTGAGGGATTGGATGCTCTTTGTTCTGTGATCTTAAAAAATCATCAATCTGCTTGTCCCTAGTACCTGTATTTGGCATGTAAGATGGGAATAATAGTCCAAAACGTCTTAATAAACTGACAGGGGCACTGATTAAGCAAGGAAGGAAATGTTTTTTGAGCATCTGCTATGTACACGATGCTGGGTAGGGTACAATGCAGACATGAATAGTCCCTGTGCTCAAGGAACTTATTGTTTAGTGGTAGAAAACAAAGTGTACATATCTGTGCAACAGACTTATATGTGCTGTGATGGAAGCTTATGTAAGATTGCAGATGCAAGTGTCAGGGTAGTTAGTTCTGTTGGCTAGTGGGAGGGGAAACCAAGAGGTGGCAGCATGGTATAGGGAGAAGAACATCAGGTTTAGAGTCAGAAGACCTGGGTTTTTAGAATCTCAGTTCTCTATATATTAGCTGTGTGACCTTGACTTCTTGGAGCCTGGGTGGCCTCATCTAGATAAGGGAAATAATACCTCCTCACATGGCCATTGTGAATATGGAATTATACACTTATAAGTGTGTGTGCATGTTCTTTCTATCTGAGCTCTAGGGGCAAGGTCATGTTTTTGAATAAAGTGGGTGTTAGGCCACTTGTAATTGCTATGGCAAAAGATTTTATTGAAGTTAGATCTCAGATTAAACCCAAGCAGGAATTAGCAACCTTTCAAAGGCAGCGTGCCAACTTGGCAGCCCATGCTGTCGTGGCAGATCAGATGTCTGTATTCACTTTTTATGTACAAAGTCATCTATGGTGGTAGAGGAAGGAGGTGGCAAGAAATCTGTGGCCCCTAAAAACATATCTTCACTCTGGTAGCAGGTGTGGATTGAGTTTCCCTGCTCCCTTATGCCCTCAGGAATGGGAGCGCAGTAGAAGTGTGTCTTAACTCTGACCTTTATCCCTTTCCTCCCTTGCACCAGATTTTATCATGTGGGCAACCTGCTGCAACTGGTTCTGCCTGGATGGACAGCCTGAGGAGGCCCCACCCCCCCAGGGAGCCAGGACGCAGGCCTATTCCAATCCTGGGTACAGCTCCTTCCCTTCTCCAACAGGTTCTGAACCAAGCTGCAAGTCCTGTGGGGCCCACTTTGCAAACATGGCCAGAAAGGTGAGTGTTGACTTCTTGGCCTGCTACAACCTCAGGCTCTTGGGCCAGCCTACTGACCTTTCTATAATGCCTGCTGCCTCGCCTTTGTCTATGCAATGCTGGTAACCTAGACCCGTTCTTTTCACAAAACTATTAAAGAAAAACTAACCAAGCAAAACCAAAGCATCTCAGCATAGATTTTGAGCCAGCTAGACCTGAATTCACATGTCAGCTTTGCCATTTTCGAGCTGTATGACTTAACCTTTCTTGAGATTCATTTTCCCCATTTATAAAATGAGGATATCATAGTTATACCCGTCTCACAGGGTTGTGAGAATAAAGTGATATAAACTGCGAAGGGTGCCCAGTACAATGCTTAGAATGTAGCAGTCACTCGATGTTATTTTCTTCATTAGCTGCCATCATAAAAAGCCTGACTACAGATTAAGTTGTTCTTTTTATTGAAAGCAGTGTCAAGGACGTCTGGAGTACATCAAGACCCTAACAACACTAAGACTGAGTTTATTTACTGTAGCGATTTTATTTGAAGTATGTTGTAGCCATGTGTTCCAGATTAGCAAGCAGGAAGTAAAACTATTGGCTGGCTAATGGTCTGTGGGTGTAGGCTTTCCCTCTATCAGCGCTCAGAGGCAGTGTGTTTTCTGTGGTCAGGTAGGACTGGGGCTGACGGTGAACCTTGACCTGGAGAAAGAACTGCATTCTGTAACTCCTGCATTCTGTATTCTTCTACAGAACAAGAGGTTTATAGCCTAGAATGTGATGTTAAAATGGTGATAACGGGAAATTTGAGAGAGGAAAGAAAAATCCTTTTTACACCATCTGCTATATGCCAGGGACTGTTTTAAGCGATTTAGATTTTTTGTTTCATTTAATTCTCACAATGACTCTATGATGTAAGTTTTAGGGTCCTTAAACTCCCATTTTACATATGAGAAACTAAGGCTTAGAATTTAAGTTAAAAAGAAACTTTATATGTGAAGTTCCTGACGAATAGCACAGGAGACATTAAAATACTCATTCTCTTCCCTCTACTTAGGTAGCTCTCCGAGATTACATAGTTATTAAATGGCAGAGCCAGGATTTAAACCCAGGTCTTTGACTCTCAAGCTGTCTCCCAGAAGACATTCAACATGTCAGAAATTCCACAGTTCGATGTGTTGACCACCTATCTTTTTGTACCTGTAAGGTGATGGAGGTTTGGCATTTTGCCTTGTAGGTTGTATTTTGCCTGCACTTCACTGTAATGCAACGAAGGTGGGCACATAGCAGAGCTTTGTTGTGATTTGTGTGGCTACCCCAGGCATTGCGAGAACTCAACCAGAGAGGCTGCTGCAGGCCGCCAGGGAGCTGTGGCTTGATGGGCAGAGATACCCTGCCTTTGATACACTGAAATGTTTAGTTAATGGTTTGAGACTGACGTGGAGAATGGAAGGAACTCGGCGTGGCATAGCCTCTGTCTTCTCAGTGATGGAGACATTGGGGTAGAGTCAGGATCTGAGATGAGATGGAAGGAGGGCTTTGGGTACTTGTCACATGCCTGGCGCTGAGTTTGGCCTATCGAATGCGTTATCTCATTGAACCCTTACAACAGCCTATGAAATATGTACCATTATTTGTTCCCATCTTACAGATAAATTTTTCTCTTTATCTAAGATACTAGATTCAAGGATTCCTCAGGTACATCAAGAGTCTGTTTGATAGCCAAAGATCTTGCTGTTTTCATTATATTACGTTGTGGGAAATGCTAGGAACAGCCACTGATAGAAGTGGCAAAGTAATTGATAAGAATAGGGAAAACCCTTATTTAAATGAGGCAGCATGAATTTGCAATATGTTTGCTTGAACCTCTTTTTTTAACTTGGTGGTGAATAACTTTTGTTATTCAATAATTAAATTATTACAGTTATGTAAGTATACAACTTACAGAGTCAAAGTGTTCAACAAAGTTAGTCACAAACAATAGAATCCCACTTCTCACTTTGCTCTCCTCAGAGGCAACTGCATTTACTTCTTTTGGCTGATTTTTGTTGTTGTTGTTGTTGTTGTCGTTATGTCCACATTACTGATACACACACACAGTTGACCCTTGAACAATGTGGTGGTTCAGGACACTGACACCTTGTGCAGTCACAAATCTGTGTATAACTTGTAACTCCCCCAGAATTTAGCTACAGTTCCACAGTACCCGCAGGGGATTGTGACCTTCCCTCACTTTTAAATGTCAGCTATATTCTCAGAGTGGAAATGGGGAAAGAGCAAAGAGGGCAATGATGGCGATCCAGGCTTGGAGATCAGCACATCAAGCATGTTGAAAACTTGGGAGAACTAGGGCATGTAGCAAGTTCTTGACATTTCTCAGCCAGAAGAGAGAACAGAAATGAGGAAGGAAATTGCCCTCAGAGAAAAGAGATTGATGGTTAGGAAAGAATGGGAAGATGCTTTATTTTTTTTGTAGTGGTTATCATTGCCTGACATAAATATGTTTATGGATTGCCTGTCTTCTGATGGTACATAGGAACAGGGATTTTGTCAATTTTGTTCATAACTTTTTTCTCCAGTGCTTAGAACAGTGACCGACACATAGTAGGTAGGCAATAAAAATTTTAAAATAAAACGAATGAATGAATGGACAGTTGAGTTGAGAATAATTTGAAAAAGAAGAAGTATACCCAAGAGTTTTTATTTTTATTACTTTATGGTAGATGACTCTATGCTGGAAATTTTCCTTGAGGGCCCATTTCTGTACCAGCAGCATGCTAGCAGCTAGAGGTTCTAGCTTTGTGGAGACAGAGCTGAGGAAAGCTTAGGCCTTTCCCTCTGGGAGCTTACTATCTGGTTAAGGAGGCCCACATTTGCAAAGAACTAGTAACTGCTGCATAAGTTATGTGCTGAGGAATCCAGCATTACTGGTAAATTGATAATTCTAGCTGGATGAAGGAAGATTGATTTGCAAAACAGTGGCTGAAGTAAAGTCACCAGGTGTAGGGTAAGTGTAAGATGTATTTGGGAACTGTGAATGGCCTGTTTGGCCAGAGTGCAGGGTACTTTGGAAATTAGGTAGAACGAAGTTGGGATCAGGTGGCGAAGGGCCATGACTGCCATAGTAAGGAGCTTATAGCCACCAGACAACAAGGAGCCATCAGAAAGATTTTGAACACAGGAATGACCTGATCAGTCCTGTTTCAGGTGGTAGATGTGGCTTCGTTAGTGGTAAGGATAGCACTTAGGAAGAAGCTCTTACACACCTAGTGAGAAGTTATTAGAGCCTGGTCTAGGGTGGTGGCTGAGACTGATTGATGTAGCTGCCATTTAGTGAGCATCTCTTTATGTCAGACTCTGTGAAGTAGTTGTTGTTAACCCATTTTACAGATGGAAAATATAAGACTCAAAGACACAAAGGTACTTAGCTACCTAAGATAGAAGGGTACGCAGCCTATGAAGACAGGTGAAGTTAGGAGAAGGTCAAAAGATGACAGGATATTGGCCTGGGTGCCTAGGAGCATGAGAAATGATTGAAATCAGGAACTGTTTTTTCCTACTCATTAGAAAATAAATTATTGACTATCTACCATGTGCCAAGTATTGCCTGGGGTAGGAAGGCAGAGATAAAGTAAGTCAATCCTTGTTAACAGGGCGCTTGCAGTCTAATAGGAAGGTGGGGACAAATATATAGCCATCCAAAGAGACAAGACAAAATCTTCTGTGGCAAGAAGAGCTTTCTTGGTGGGGCAGGTAGTCAGGGGAGACAAGTTTCAGTTTGGTTGGTAAAAGATGGTTATCAATAAAATATTTTCTTGCTACGAAAGTAAGAGATAATTTTGTGTAGTTCACAATGAGTTTTGTGAATATTAAGGATGTTTTCTCCATTATAAATTTTCATTTGTAATTTCATGCTTAAGTGTATCAGCATTCTTATCATTTAATAAACAGCCACAGGCTTTTAAAATGTCTTTTCTATTGAATTGTACACCTGAAACTTAACTGGATTTTGTTAACCAGTCACCATAATAAAAATCAAATAAATAAATAAATAAATAAAATGTCTTTTCTAGAAATGGTTGAATTGATATGATTACATGGATCCTACTATCTTATTTTTATTGTGGTCAGTAGTTTCTGAATGCTCATTTGATGCAAAGCACAGATAACATTTAAGACTTTACAGAGAACACACAAGGATTTAGCCCTTGCCTTCCTAGAGTTTTGAGTCTTGGAGAGAAATGGCAGGCTGTAATTTTGCCACAAGCTAAATATCCCATCTGTTTTGGTAAAACCTACATGTGGTTTAATAGCAGCCCTGACAATTTTGGAGGGAGTTTGGGACCCAGCCTCTTCAGTTGGACCAGTTTGAGGAGAAGGCGGAAGAGGAGGAGCTTGTGTTAGGAAACATGAAAGAGATACCCAAATCTCAGAGTGGAAAGAGAGGAAGTGGTTCCTAGGTACTTGCAAAAGCTCAGAGATGAAGCA